TTTTCAGTGGTTCAGTATGTCTTCAATTTTCATAATAGAAGGTTGGAAAACAATTCACCCAGGTTTAAGCACGCCCCCTTCCTTTTGCAGCCTTTTATTCTAAGTTGAACTGTTTTTTAGATGAAGTGGCATATCTTAGGAAAATTACTCAGTACAATAAAATACTAGGAAAACAGTGAGATGTGCAAAACCCTGCACTCCATGCTACTTAGAATTTACCTGTTTAGGTCATATCCTGTTTCAGCAGCTTCAAGAAAAGATAACCCATTCAACTGCCACACCGTATTGTGCTTATCAACGTTTGAGAATACATTTGTGAGGAAGGGAGAGGCTGAATAATGAGTAGATTGTTGCTAAAATATTTTTATTTTTTACCAAGAGCACCCACCACATAGACATCATTCTCTTTTAAATTGCAGAGTTTTTTGAGTGTTAAAATGATTTATGTTCAGTGCAAAGAATATCATGCTTCCAATGTTTTAAGGGACTATGTACATTATGGGTTGCCTGGTTTCATTGCTATTTCATACTTTATGCTTATATAGCATCATTCCTTCTGTGAATCAGATGCTCTTTCCTGAATGGCATATCCAGCAACCAGAACAGTTTCCACCTAAGAAGAATGGCAGAAAATGGTAAACTTAGCAAACACGATGCCCTGAGGCCAGGAGGCTGGTACCAATCAGAGCTGCTGAAGTGAAATCGAGAGGACCTTGAGTCTCAGTCTCCTTAGGTTTAAAAGGATAGTTATACTACCTGCGATGAAAGGTTGAGAGGGTCTAATGATGTGTGTAAAAAGGCTTGGAATGTAAGCCCTACACCATTATGACAAATGGACACTGAGCAGCTGCCTGTTTTTGTAATACAGTTTAACTGGAACACAGCCACGCTGTGTCTACATATGGTCTATGGCTGCTTTTGCATGAAAGTTGAGTAGTTACAACAAACCATATGGTTGGCGAAAGCAAGAGTAACTACTGTGACTCTTCATAAACAATGACTAGCTGACCTTGGCCCTACACCACCACGGGCTTCGAACGGCTTTGGATTGACGCACAAGCGTGTGGTGATCAATGAATCTCAGAGTCAAAAAGGGGCCTTTGGAGAACTTGCACTTGAATATCTTCACTACATACATCCAACATGTGGCTCAGAAAGGTAAAATGACACATCTAAGGTCACACACATTTGATGTGGAATGCTGAAGCACACCACGCTACCACCAGGGCAAAATTATGGTGGGTAGAGAAAGCACTTGAAGACAGTAAGGCCGACTGGGCCTCATGTTTGATTGGCGGGTGTTCCGTGATCAGTTTGTACAAGGAGGGGGCCAGAGTGAGCTAATCCCAAATGCTGATCTTAACTGAAACCTATCTGTGCCTGTGGCAGCAAAATCTGGAGGCGGAAGCAAGTGTCCAGGAGTCCAAGGAGGCTCTCCACAAGCCTCCTGTTGAACAGTCTAGGTCTCCTCGATCATCCCAGACCCTCGGCAGCGGCTGGAGAAGGGGTGATGGTGGTGGTTAATATTTGTTAAACATTACTGAACACAGCCTCCTGTAAGGCAAGATACTTTCATGAACTTGTTTGATTTCATTTGACCCTCCCCAAGCCCCATATGGAACAGGCAAAAACTAGATGCTGAGGCTCAGAGGTTAAGGGACTTGCTCAAAGTCACAAAGCAGAGACTCTACTAGGCCTGTTCGACCTGGAAACCTATGTTTTCCATAGCCGGGTTCAAAGTACATCCCACAGCTGACCGAACTGAGGAGGGCACACAGCTGCTAAGGGGGCTGAGCAGTGGTTCAAACCCGGGGCTTGCGGTGAGTGTTCAGAACTGCAATTCCCAACCCAAGGCAAGTTTCTACCTTTCAAAAGTTTTCGCCCCCTCGCATCTCTCAAGCACCCTGAGGTGTTCGGGCTCACGCTCTAGGGCACGCAGAACTGAGTTCAGCCCTGTCAGGAGGCGGAAGGCGGTCCTTAGCCGCCCCTCAGTGCCCACCCTGAGGGGTCGTCATCCTGGTCTGGGGGCAGCAAGAGATTCTGCACCCGCTGCCTCCAGCCTGCGGGGCGCCGCCTACCTGCCGCGGGACCGTCAGGGTCCGGTCCACGTGGAAGAGACAGCGCTGGGGGGGAGGGAGCCAAGTCACCAAATACCACGCCACACCTGAGGTGATGGCCGGCACCCGGAACTAGGTTCGGAACTTCCGGGTTCAGCCAGCGTTCTGGCGGGCGCGTCGTGAGGAGGAGAAGAATCCACTCCCACAGGGTCCAATGCGTCAGCAACTCTCTGTGGACCACAAATCCCAGAATGCAACGTGCCCCACGCAGTTCCGTAAGGCGGAGCAAGCGGTGGTGGATCTTCCGCTCGCTGACAGGATTCGGTAGACAGTGCGGGGCCATGGTAAGCAGGTGGGTGGTGGAGACTGAAGGAGGTGACGCGCTTTTCGGGTCGGGGTTGGGATTTGGGTCAGGCCTGGGGCCGGCAGGCCGAAGCCTGACATGGTGACTCGGGGAACGCGCGGGAGCTACCTCCGGAGTGGGTTATGATTTGTTATTCCCGGGCTTCCGGTGCGCGCAGGCCACGTGCGCGATCAACAGCGATACTAAAGTTCACAGAGCATTCATTTCAGGTCCGTCAAGTGCTCTTGAGGGCTTTAAAACCGTCATCTCTTTCAGTATATTCTGAATCCCCGTTTGAAAGATGAAGAAACCGTGGGCTAAAGTGGGGGGGGGGTAAGTTGCCCACGGATCCAGAGCTAGTGACTAGGAGTCGGGATTGGAATCCAGACCTGTTCACTGCAGTAGTCAAGGTGTGGGACTGTGCTTCCACTAAAATCCTTGTGCTTCCGTTTGGCTCCTTCACCCCCCTCTCCCCCTCCAGTCTTCCCGCTCCCCCTAACAGGGGTAAGAAATCACCATTTCCCTTCAGCACCCAGATGACGCTCTAAGCAAGCAGAGATTACGAAAGTTACTGTGCTACATAACTAACGGATTTGTACCCCACTGGGACATATACTGTTTGGGGAAATATTCACCCGGCCTGATGGATCCGGGGCTGGGCACCTGCCTACGTATTTTTGTTTAAATGAACGCAGAGGGCTGTGCCTCCTTCCTGTGCCTACTTGAAGTGCCTGCAGGAAGGTGGGCCGGTTGGAGAGTCAGACCCTGTCCCACTCTCTGGCTGTGTGTTCCTGGGTAAATTTCTTACCTTTTCTGGCCTTAGATTTTTACTATTTCACACAGCTTTTGTGAAGGTCACATGAGGTAAAGCACCTGGGTTTCCCTTTCCCTCCATCTTTGTCCTGATGGTGACCTCACAAGATGGACAGGAGCCTCACAAGATGTTTTGCAGGTGTTCATTGTGTGATGAGCATGGTCGAGTTCTTCGAGAGAAATGGTCTCTTGTCTCCCTTCCAGGCTGCTGTCCTCCGAGTTGTGATGCGGTTGCCAGTGCCAGCTGTGTGGGGAAGGCCTCTCTACAGGCTGCAGTGCTGCAGTGGGCAGGATTTTAGGAAGTGGGTGGGGAGTAGGTCACCCACATTGAAAGGGAAACCACCAGGCACAGAGACAGAGAAATTCCAGATGATCTACCGGTTTGATGCCATCAGAATCTTTAGGTACTTGTCTCGGCTGAAGGTGGTACAAACAGCCCTGACGGTGGTGGCCCTGCCTCCTGGCTTTTACTGGTACTCCCAGGGCCTTATGGCTTTCAACTCCTTGTGCCTCGTGGGTGGGATAGCTGGGTTTGCCCTGGCTATGCTGTGCTGGATGAGCTATTTCTTCCGGAGGCTAGTGGGTATCCTATATGTGAATGAGTCAGGCACCATGCTGCGGGTGGCCCACCTGACCTTCTGGGGCTGGCGGCAGGACACATACTGCCCAGTGGCCGACGTGATCCCTATGACGGAAACCCAGGACTGGCCTCAGGAACTTTTTGTACGGATCCAGCAGTACAGTGGGAAGCAGACCTTCTACCTCACCCTGCGCTATGGACGCATTGTGGACAGAGAGCGTTTCACACAGGTGTTTGGGGTTCTGGACACGCTTAAGTGAACAACTGGACACTGGGCTTCTGGGTAACCTTGGGCCACCTGGATCTCTGACAGAAGGCTGAAGGTGTGGGCAAGGTTAAAGAAAGGGGACCTGTGAGCTGGAGACTTTGCCAGGATTCCTGGGAAACTTGCCTTTTGGAATGAGTAAGTTCATGAGGCTGATGCTAGTAAGCTAGTTTAGGAAAGAGGCCTTAGTGCAAATTTTTACGCACTTGTATATGACATTCATGTAGGTAATGGCCAGCAGGTTCTCTTGGGAGCCAACTGTTGGAAGAAGCTATGCCCCATTCATGCAAACAGAAAGTGCTGTGAAATGGGAAGAAGGGTGGGGCAGGCGGAACATAGGATTTGGAGTTGGAAGACTTGGATTTTGTTTATCTTTAACTTGTCGTGGGCCAGGTAGCTGAGTCTCTCTGAACCTTGGTTTTTCATTTGTAAAGTGGAAATCCTGCCTGTCTCATGGGATGTGTGTGAGAATAAATAATAAATGTTGAGTGCTTTGCAAACTCAGGATGCAAGAGCAAACATGAAGTGTTTGTTTAGAGGTGATGGAGTGGTAGACCCAGCAGCAGACTGGATTGGGATGAAACCTGGAAGTGGGTCATTTGGTCCTGCCAGATGGTAACTACATGAGGGGCATGAGAGTCATCCAAGCAAATATGGCACTCCTGCAAGACAGTGTTTAGTACCCAGAGGGCTTGGGGCTCTCACATCAGATGTCTCTGGACTGTGTGTGCCTGGGCCAATTTTTTTGCCTAAAGAATAGATTCTCAATCCCTGGCTCCATATGCGGAATCACCTGGAGAGCTTTTTAAAAGTGTTGTTACCCAGGCCTGTGACCATGCCCCCCAGGTGGTTCTCATGTGTAGTCTGGGTTGACAGTCAATGGGTGGAAGTCTCACCGTACTGGGAGGTGAGAGCCAGGATTCTCACCCTCTTTTACATGAAAAGAGCTTTTGTTCCTATGCACAGTCTGCTGTGTAGTACCAGCAGAGGGCACACAGAGCAAATGCATTATCCATTCCTTTATTCCTGAGCTAAAATCATACGTCTCTATGTGAGAATGGGAATCAGATTAGGGCTTTTACCACATGCATAGGGCAGCACCTAGGAGCCGTGCAAAAAAATCCCAAATCAACAAGACTACCCTGTGTTGAACCCCCACAGGTTCCTGTAGAAACTGGGCATGTGTGTTTTTGTGCTAATTCTAAGGCAGCCCAAGTTTTGAAAATCATTTTGTGGGGTTTATCCTTCCCCAAAACCAAGCAGTAGCTCCTCAGAAAATGGAAGTGGCCTTTGGATTCAGGTGTTGGAATTAGCCGCTTTGACAAAATGTAGCCTCATTAGCAAAGAGGTTACATTGGTGATTAGCCTCTTTAACAATTCCAGCATAGTCATGTAATAGCGATACCCAAGCATCCATATGAGAATATTCACTGAATGTTTTTAACAGCAAAACAAACAAAACAATAGCACCAACGAAACTAGAAATAAGCTAAGTCTCTGCTAGTAGTTAACACAGTTAAATAAATGTTGGCAGTGTTTAATTGAAAAATAAAATGTTGGTAGATCCATATTATGGGACATACATGGTGCTTAATCAGAGTTAGACTGATATAATCTGCTGATGTGGAAAAGTAACCATGGGGTAATGTTATGTGGGACAAACTAGTTACAGAACAATATAGTCTTTTGTTCTTAATTTTTAAAAAATGCATACATTCCAAATTGTGAACAGTAATTACCTCTGGGGAGCATTTTCGGGGTTGAAGGCAGTGGATGAGATGAAGGGAACGCTCCTGGTTCAACTTTGTAACCCAGTATTTAAAATTTTTATAATGAGTTTGACATGTGTCTTAACATGAAGAAAATGTTGTGATAAGTATACAGTGTCTTCTTCCATCCTTTCTTCCTCACGTCAGCTTTCTAGGTAGTTTCTCAACTATGTATTTCCACTGTGGACTGGGAAACTGAGTTGACAGGAAACATTTAGTCACTGAGAGTGTCAGTGGGACGTAACTGTGTCCCCTTGTAGACTGACTTTCCTTCCTGTCTGCTGAGAACAGTGTGGGTTTTGTGCCCCTCCATGCTGCCCGTGGGCTATATATCATTTAGATGCAGGGAATGGTAACGGTCTGTAGCATGTCGATTCTCATATGCTATGCTGAATGGTTGCCATGGACTGAATGGTCCTCCCTAAAATCATATGTTGAAATCATAACCCCTAAAGTGATGGTGTTTGGAGGTGGGGCCTTGGGAGTTGATTAGGGTTAGAGGAGGTCTTGGCGATGGGGCCCTCATGACAGGATTGATGTCCTTGTAGGAAGGAGACAAGACTGAGTATAACAAGGACGGCCATGTGAGCACATAAACAGGGAGAGACACTCAACAAGAACCTTATGGACTTCCATTCTCCAGAACCGTGAGCAGTTAATTGTTTGCTGTTTAGGCTGTCCAGTCTCAGGTATTCTGTTATAGTAGCCGGAGCTGACTAAGATGGGGGCCTCCAAGTTTAGGTCAGCTTTTGCTGGGGATGTTCATACTGGGCACAGCTGAGAGCTGTGGTTCTTCCTACACTGGTTACCAAAAATTAGACCTTGTCATGGGGCCAGAAATCCCACTGCAGCCCATCATTAAATGACCATATTTAATGCACTACCTGGATCTGGTGAACTTAGCTGCTTGCAGGGCTAGGCTGGGGTGAGTTGCCTGAATAGCCAGGGTTGGAGCTTTCCTTTTGCTGCTTTATGGTTTCAGGGCTTGTGAGTCCCCAGATGGAAAGCAAAGTCCCCTTTGATTCACAGGCATAGTTCAACTTTTATGGCTTTTTTTGACTCTGCATCATTCAACTATAAAACCTTGGCTGATTAGAATTAGTCAAGCAGGGCCGATACCATCTGGCCATGCTTGTATCAGGTGGTGACAAAACATCCGTTTTCCTTATTAGCAGTTGAAATATATTCCAGGATGTCCAGTTGAGTTTACCTTTGTTGGGAATTAGATTTAATATCTACAAGTGGGAACTTAACTCTGACAGAAATATGTTGTTTAGACCCATATGTGCAACACTATTCACAGATGAAGTGGCAAAGGAAGTATCTTCCATTTAGCACCTACTGTATGCCAAGCAATTATCACATGTAAACCTCCCAGCAACTGTTCCCAAGTTAGCGAGCCAGAGAGAGGCAGTTGTATGTAGGGGGGAAGCATGTGGCTTTGAAGCAAGACTTCCTGTCTGCTTGAATCCCAGCCCTGGCTGTGACCTGGGGCCAGTTATACAGTGTCTGTTTGTGTCTTGGTTTCTTCACCTGTCAAGCAATGATAATAAAAGCACCCACTTAGGGTGGTTGAGGGGACTGGCTTACTACATGAAAAACACTTAAAATAGTTCCTGATCCAAGGGAGCACTCCATACATGTTAGTGAGCATTACTGTTATCAACCTCATTTTGCACATGAAGCCACAAGCGGTAAAGTGACTTGCTCAAGGTCATCCAGGCAGCAAGTTGAGTTGGGTCACTCTTCTGCCTTGTCCTGCTTCCCCAAGAGGGGAAGTACAGAAAATAGAAAACAATGGTTGTTTTTAAAAGTAGTATTCATTCTTGAGGTTCTGGCACCTTCCACACACCTACCTTAGGCCTGTATGTGTAGGATCTCATACTGAAAACTGACCAGTTCAAGTCCACATACCAAGGCCAGTGGCCAGGCCACTGTGAAAAAGGTCATTGGTGGTCTCTATCCTTAACCAATCCCATGCTGACTGTGTGCGTGCACATGCTGGCATATACAGTGATTACACATGTGCCATCTTTCATATATCCATGTGTATCCTGGCTTCCAAATTCTGATTTTGAGCTTCAGCTTCCTCATATTGAAAACAGGCATACAAGTACATAGCTCATAGGTTTCTTGTGAAAATTATAAAGCAGAGGTAGAATGTGGTTGCACATCGTGGATGCTCAGGAAACAGTAATTATTATGAATGATTTAAAAATACATTTAATGGTAGATACTACCTTTCAAGTCAATTGTTTCGTAGACATGTCAGATTTCAGAGCTGGGAGATACCTTGGAAACCATGTGGTTCAAGCCGTAGATTTTACTGGTGAAAAATATAGGGGTAATGGAAGGCCACTGAGACAGCTGGGAGCAGAAGTGAGAAAGCCCACCACCCCTGCTTCCAGGTCAGGACAGCAGGAGGATGAAGGTTCAAGTCACTTGTGCAGGTGTCTGCTGAGCATCCCTTCTGAGCCTCCCTGTTGATTCTAGTCAGTCATCAGCTTATCAACTTTGTTGGCCATAGAGAGAATCTGACTTAATTGGTTTGGGGTAGGGCCCTAGCATTAGGATTGTTTAAAAAGCTCTTTAGGGTGACTCTCAAGTGCATCCAGTGTTAAAAGTCAGTGTCCTGTATGTTTTGAATTCTGTGCTTTTCTTTCCCTTTCCATTCATCCCATTATTGTCCTAGTTAGACTCCCAAGTCATCTTGATGGTGGCAGTGGCCCGACCCATCTCTGCACCTCCCTGTTTGTTACGGAGAACATGCAGGACAATCTCTGAAATGCAAGTTGCAATATCCCCCTGCTGCAAACCTTTAGTGGCTGCATCACTGTGTGGAAGGCCCACGCCCTCAGCACAGCACAGAAGGTCCTCTGGATTGGAGCCCTGCCCATTTCTTTGGCCTCGTCTCCAGGGGTTGCTGGAATCTCTCCCATTGTGATCTAGTCATGCTGAACAATGTAGAAATGCCTTCTGCCTCCCCCCATCTTTGTCCCTTCAGTTAGCTATTCTCTTGAACTGGATGCTTTCCCTCCCCCCTCTGAGTCCCTGAAGCAGTTCCTGCTCAACCTTGAGGAGGAAACTCAGGGGCCCAAATTCCACCCCAACTTAGGACCAATCCTTTGTGCATATATGGCATCCAGGGTCCTCCTATATCCTTGTCCTTACGCTAAGTTGATAAGACCTTTGCTCCACTGGAAGGTGAACTGAGAGTAAGGACCATACCTTGTCCATCCCTATCACATGGTATCACCTTGTGAGCTCTGGAGAAATTAATGGCTCACACCCAATGCAGGTAGAATGTTCCCTGAAGACATCCCTAAGAGGTGTATATAATAGGTGTTTAATAAGTACTTGCCAAATAATTAAAACCATTTCCAGCCCTGGCTGGCGTAGCTCAGTGGATTGAGCGTGGGCCTGCGAACTAGAGTATCGAGGTTCAGTTCCCAGTCAGGGCACATGCCTGGGTTGCTAGGCCAGTTCCCAGCAGGGGACTCACGAGAGGCAACCACACATTAATGTTTCTCTCCCACTCTTTCTCCTTCCCTTCCCCTCTCTCGAAAAATAAATAAATAAAATATTAAAAAAAAATTTCCAGTCAAGAAGGCCACATTCACTCTGATGTTTCCATTATAAATATATTTTTTTTTTAAATTTAACAATACTGATTAACACAGGAAGTATTCATGGAATTGTGCAGATGGTCATCAGTTACATTGTGACGTTAATTTCTTTATCATTTATTGGCACTGTCAACAGAATACTGTAAACAAGATCACTTTGTATGCGTAAGTTGGCGATGCTCCCTAGCTGTGGTTTTTCTACCATGAGCTAATATATATATATATATATATATATATATATATATATATATATATACACACACTATATAGATAAGTATAGCTATATTAATGTGCACAGTTTTGCATGGTTACTGTCAGTAAAAATTATAAAAAAATCCATTTATAATAAAAGGGAGGATATGATAAGACGCACTATTACTGGACCTTATTTTCTGTAAAAGAGACGAGATTTGCTAGAGACGTTTACTAAACTCTATGGCACTAATGTGTGATGGATCCATTTCCAGTCCCTCACCACAGAAGCACTTCTCCCTGGGCTCTGCCTTACAAGGTACCCTGTCCACTGCGCCCAGCCACCCTGAGTTTTCCGCAGCCTCTTCCAAGTTCCTACGATCTTTAGCTGTGCTGGGAATTCTTTTCCTTGACATTTTCCCATCCAGACCCTCCCAAAAGCAGATGTCTCAGGAACTCTTTATGCTCCAAGCCAGTAAGAACTTGGTAAACAGCTTAAAAAGTTTTACAAGAATAACTTCCTTTGGTAAGGAGCGCATAAGTCTGGACATGATTTTCTAGATAAAGTGGTTTCATTTTCTGTCAGTGCCCTCTGGGGAGAGAACAAAACATTGGAGCCACTCTCCACCAAATTGCCAACTTTCTGGTTGTGCCTTAGTTTAAAAACCTTCTGGATTTCAAAACCCTTATATGTTTGCATCCAGTGCTAAAGTCCTCAGAAGATACCATACTTATGCCAATATAAGAATTATGGTTTGGGTTCCATTTTGTTTGTTTGTTGAACAAGGCCTTGAATTCTGGACTGTTGCCTGTGAAATCTGGATCCCTAGTGAAAGGTATGAGACCATGAACTGGTAGGCCTTTGCACATGGTATTCCCTTTCTGCAGCACTTTTCCTTGCCTTGTCTGTTTGGTGAACTCTTGCTCATTCTGCAATATCCTATTCAAATGTGACTTTCTTCTTGAAACCTCCTCTGATCCTTAGGTGGATTGGGGCACTCCCTCTGATTTCCTGATGCTCCTGTACATACCTTTGTCACAGAACTTGCCACTCAGCTTTAATTATGGGTTTAAGAGTGTGTTGTCCACAATGAGATGTGAATCCCTTGAGAGCAGGGACCACGTTTTATTTCACATTTGTAATCCTAGTGCTTAGCACTAGGCCTGGGACAGAGCAGGTGTTCAGTACTAGTTTCATGAATGAATGACTTAATAAATATACAAAAAAGTGAAACCTCACCGAAAGGGGAAAGCATAGATCTCCACTTAGTCATCAGGGTCAATGGCCTTAAACACAGCAGAACTCCTTTAAAGCAGTGACAGCACTGACTGCAAGAATGCAAAGTGAACGGGAACTCAAAGATCTGTCTGTGCCTGTTAGGCATGTTAGTGCCTTTCCTTCTCAATAAAATCAGGTGGAAGACCAAGTCCGTTAAAGAGTACAAGCTGAAAGAAACCGCTTTGAGATCTTTGGATGATTATTAAAAGAGCAAAGTGCTGAATGGAGAACCTTGATATGTCCATCTTTTCAAATGGGCAAGCAAAGCATTGGGAGATGAAGTGGCTATCTTTTGGAGAGAGAACATAAAAAGCCAGACTTTCTTCATCTCCCTGCCAAACAGTCCTCAGTGCTGTGGGACTACCAGCTGCTCCTTTTAGGAGCCTGATGGTAGGAACTTAAATCAGTTCCAAGAAAGTCTGTATTTCAGGAGCGTTCCTTTAGCTTCAGCCAAGGTGCATTTAAGCCTTCAAGTACCACGTGCCTGGTAATCTCCACACTTGTTCCCGTTAGAAAAACCTCTGACTGGAGTGGCAAAGACAAGGAAACCACCTTGAACCAACAGCCTGATTTTTTTCCTTCATGGACCTCTGGTGCCTTTAATTCATCATGCTTCCCTCAAGAAGAATCTCGTTTAGCAACTGACTGCCTTTGATAGAGTAGCAAAGCTATTCCTATGGTTGCTCAGAAGTGGAGCAAAGAAAAGGGTAAACAAAACCTAGAGAAAGAGCCTCCTGGGTGAGGAGTCCAAAAAGCAGACCCCAGTTGACTCAGAGACAGGAAGAAGTCACCTGTCCCAGGCCCTGGGCTCATGTTCCAGGGAGCATGAGCTTCTTGTGCTTCTGATCCTTCAGCTCACGTGTGCCCCTGTGTGCCCCCTTCTCAAGCTGCAGTTTTGTTTCCAGAGGCCTCAGTTGACGTTTAACAGGGGGAAAGAGCTTGGGGGGATGGTGGATGTCAAGTAAGAAGCATCCATGATGCCATCTGGGCAGTCTCCAAAGCCCCATCCAGGACAGAAGTCACAGTTTAGAGCAATCCCCACATGCACTTGGATAAGTGGTCGAAGTCTTGAGAAGACCCCCTTTCCACACCCCTAGCTCAATTCTAACATTCCTACAATCCTGCCTTCATATGATCTGTCCTGTCCTTCACTGGATTGTGCTTGGGACATGCTCGGAGTTCCAGGGGTTGGGTGAGGGGTGAATATGTTTGCATAGGGCAAGTGAGCCAACATCCTTGATGATAGAATATGGCACTTGAGAGGGACTGGAACCCAGGAGTTTCAGCTACCCTTCCCAGTAGCAGGTGTCATTCCTGTGGCTGGATTCCAAGGAAATTGTAGCTGTTCAGAGTGGGCACATAAATGGCTGGGGTGCTCATGGCCCATCCTAAGACTGGAGCTCAAGTACAAGCTGAGCATAGACCACTGGTCACTATTGGCTCTGCACAGAGGAAAACCAAAACCAGACCCTCCATCCTCTCCCTTCCCCACAAGCCACCCTCCAGTTTTTACATTCACTTCTGATACTTTAAGTGAAAACACAAATTAGGCAAACTAATCAATTTGACAACTGTTGAGATCAGGGCTTTCCAGAGTGTAGTGGAAATGGCTTCTTTACTTGAAGTCAGCTAAGATGTCACTGAAAATATTGAGGAACAGGTGTGCATGGTGATCCCTGAAGACCAGAGTGGGACGGAAACGAATGGATTTGTCACCACAGCCCCCCAACACCACACCTGAAAGAAATGGCAGGAGGTGTTAGCAGCTTGGGCTCAGAGTTTCAGGCCTGTAAGGGCCAGCAGGATAGTTATGCACTGGGCTACCCCCACCCATTCATGTCATTTTTTCAATCCAGGTTTCTGGCTGTCCTTCCATCCATCTAGCCATCTGCATTACCTCTCTTCCTTCATCCATCTCATCCAGCATTCCTTTCCCTTCCTCTTTTTTCCAATTTTGAATACCTGCTATGCTGCCCCTTAACTCGGTTTGGTGGTAGAGAAATCCTGAGACAAAGTCCTTGCCTTCCAGAAACTCATGGTGTGGGGAGAAAGAAAATGAGCAAACAAGTAAATTAGAAAAGGTAAGGCAGGTCAGAAGCATGCATATGGGGCACAGCTGTCACTCAAGAGGGACAGATCCCCTTATTTTAAAGGGTAACTTTACCATTGACTTGCTGGGTGTCCTTGTCTTGGTTGCTCAGCATCTCTGAAACTTTTCTCTTTTACAGAGGACGCAAATCATCCCTGCCCTTCGGGGCTAGTATATGGGTTCCATAAAATGGTACTAGTGAAAGACCTCTCTCAACACAATGTAGGTGCTTTTATCTCACCACTACATTCCCCCACTTAAAATTCTCCCATGGCCTCTCGTAGCTCTTAGGAAAAAGTCCAGAATCTTTAATCTGATCCACAGGCAGATACAATGTGGGCCTGATAGCCCCTCCCCAACTTTATTCCGTAGCCCATTGGTCCCCATTCTTTTAGTTTCTCCAGCTCTATCCTGGTTCAGGTAATTGTATGTGTCCCTCCTTCACTCAGAATGCTCTTCCTGACCTTCACTGAGCCAAACCCTGTCCATCCATCAAGGCATAAGGTAAAATGCCACTTCCTCAAGGAAGCCTTCCCTGATTTCCTGGACTTTTACACCAGCTATTCACTCCCCCAGGCCTTTTTCCTGTTTCCTAGGATTTATAAATGCAGCTGGTTGTTCATGAAATATTCTCTTTAATGTCCCTACTTCCTACTAGAGTGTAAGGAACTTGAAGGAAGGGACCCTTGTGGTCTTGTTCATCATTATGTCTCCAGTGTTGGTGCTAGTCATCTTGGTGATTATTTGGTGAATGAAATAATGCATAGGAAAATCCCCATAGTAACCTTCTCTTCTTTTGAGAAAGAACATTTAGAGTGTCTTTAGTCCTGTGTACCATTTGCCCTCCCCTGCCAGGGTATCGTGGGGTACCAATTAAGCCCAGCTTCCACTTTTGATCATCTTACCTTTGTTTCTGGCTATTAAAATGAGTTTATTCCGTATGGATTCATCTGGAGTGTCGAAAGAGCAGAAGGTGCCTCGTCCTCTTACTCTGCTGATGAACTGGGGGTACCGGGTCTGCAGTGGGGAAAACAAGGCTGGCACCAAAGTCTGTTACCTTGTAGCAGCCAGTTCAGTGGTTGTGGTTCCTCAAACGAACCCCAGGGTCTGGCCGTTGGATCTCTTCATGGACTGGCAGGACCACTGTGAGGTTCAGAGCTCTGGCTCTAGAGACATTTAGCTCTGGGTTGAAAACCTTGGCCCCATTCTTACCATGGAACCTTGGGCAAGTCATTTAAGCGGCCTGTGTTTCAGTTTCTTCTTCTGTAAACTGAAGGATAAAAATGCTATTGATCCCAATGTGCTGTGGTAAGAATTTAGTGAGACCAGGTCCTAAGCCCAGGGCCTGGCACTTGGTAGGCACTCAACAGATGTCAGCCATCTTTATTTATTAGCACTTCTTGTAGAAAAGTGGTGATTGATTCTTCTAGGAAAAAAAGCTCATATTCAAGGCTTTGAGGTTGGGAGTTATAATGGGATGAATAGTGGCCCCTCCCCAAATGTATGTTGACTTATAACTTGTGAGTGTGACCTTGTTTGCAAATAAGGTCTTTGCTGATGTATTTAGGTTAAGATGAGGTTATACTGGATTAGGGCGGGCCCTGAATCCATCATGGCATTCTTATAAGAAAAGAGAAATTTGGTCATAGACATGTACAGAGAGGGGAGAACGCCATGTGAGAACAGAAGCAGAGATGACAGGGAAGCAGCTATGAGCCAAGGAATACCAGGGACCACCAGCAACCATGAGAATCTAGCAGACTGGCCTGGGATGGATGTTCTCTCAGAGCCTCAGAAAGAATCAATGCTGTTGATATCTTGATTTCAGACTTCTGGCTTCCAGAATGATGACAACAAATTCTTATTTTAAGCCACCTGGTTTGTAGTAGTTTGTTACAACAGCTCCAGGAAGTGAATACAGTATCCCAGAGTAAAGGATCTTGGTTATTCCCCACTCTCATCATTCATGTGAAAGAGAGCAAATTGGGGTTGGACAAGCACTAATAATTTCAGGTACTGGGGGCAGAGATGGGGGACAAGTGTCATTTTGTTACAGCCCCTTGGTAGGAATTCGGGTGATAATAAAGGCCCCACGGGTGTGCTAGGAACTCTGCTCGGCACTTATATGCATGTTCTTGATCCCCACAGCACTAGTGAAGGACCCATTTTGGTCTCCACAGTAGAGGAAATGAGGTACAGAAGTCACTCCAGCACTCACTCTATTTATCCTTGCACTTGCTACTTGGCTGGGAACCAGTGATATGAACACATTCCTGTCTCCCATCAGTGTTGAGGCCAGGAACAAGGTCTTATCCATATGGACACCCCTTTGTGGCCCTTGTGACACACACACACACACACACACACACACAGAGTATCTCTTTGATTATTTAATGGAGGAGTAGAAATCTTCATGTACTCCTTCCTGAATGCCTTTAATTACTGCCTCTAGGCCTTATGTATACAGCATCCTTCTGTCTCATCTATTTGTATACTTCAGTGTTTTAGGGCATTCCTGTAATCTTACCCCCTTTTTGCCTATAGCTTTGTAAGGCCCTGATAAGGATGGGTACTGCTCCCATTCCTTAAATGAGCCAGTTCAGGGCTCCTAAAAGTAAGATGTCAGGCTTGGCTCTAGGATGTTTCCATGGAATCCTTTTTTTTTTTTTTTTTTTTTGTGGTACCGTCCTACATATGGAACCCACTGTGCACCCTGAGAAAGAAGACATTTGCTAAGATGGGTTCTGGAGGCTAACTTCACTGATATTAAAAACAAACAAACAAATAAACAAACAAAAAACCCAGAACCTAGCAGCCAATTTTATGCTGGGGCCTCTCATGCAAATTGTACCTCAGGGAAAAGCCTGTCCAGGGAAAAATCCAACTTAGGGCCCAGCAGTCTGCTTTTCCATGTGAATGGCTGCCCAGAACTACCTGCCTGTGTGCCAGACTGCCTGCATGCACACTGTTTGTGCCACCCAAGCCAGCGTTTATAAAGAAATTCCCGGAATCCTATTTCAACCACTGGGATTGAAGCTTTCCTTATCCAATCAGGGCTGCGTATCTTTGACTAACCAGAGATGCTCGATTCTGAAAAATCAGGACAGGGCCTTCAGACCATTTAAACTGTGATGATTTGGAGTCCTCATTTGCATTAGTACAGATCAATCAGAGTTCAGGGTGGGGACTTCTTTCTATATAAGCCAGCTTCCCTCTGGCTGGCTGTGAGAGTGCACTTTCCCTTTCCACCTGTAATTCTAGGCTGAACAAAGCAAGCAGAGCAAAGCTGTGTGCCTGGAGAGGGGCCTGGACCCTGGGCTGCCTCACAGCCATACTGTGTCACACTTGAGCTATTTTGCATTGATTAAAGTTTCGTTCTTCAGCTCACTCCAAAATGAGGGTTCTTGTTGGCAGCCGAATTGGTGCCAAGAACCATCAGTGGAAAATTCTTTGGGAAACACTGTCTTCAGATCTGGACAGGGAGCAGCCATGTTTGTGATAGCCCAGAACAACCAGCTCCCCACCAAGCTGGACCCTGGCTGCATCAACATATGTAAGCAGGGCCCAGACATCAACCAGGGAAATAAAGGACGCCAGTCATTTCTCCTGCCCCACTGTAGGACAGTGAAAGAGTACCCTCTCAGGAAGGAAGGGCCTGACCCACTGGAGAGGTTTTTTCAAGTGGCTGCTCCTGCCCAACCTCAATTCAAATGCAAATCCACTCCAAGAAAAGAAAAGGAGGATTTCTGGTAAAGATGGTGGCATAGGTAGACATGGTTCACCTGTTTGCACCACCACATCAAAATCGCAACTAAAATATAGAACAACTGTCACTTAGAACTGTCAGAAATCAAGTTGAATGGAAGTCTGACAACTATTGAATTAAAGAAATCACACCCACATGGACTGGTAGGAGGGGCCCATACAGAACAGGTTGGTCTCTCACCCATGTGTGGTGGATAAATATTTGGAAGGGTTAATTCAGGATTGAGGAGTCGCACCCTCATACCAGGCCCCCCAGCCCAGCATTCTAGTTCCAGGAAGATTAAGTTCCCACAACTTATGGCTACAAAATCCACTGGGGATTTAGTTGGTAGAAGAAACTGCTGGACCTTCAAGCAGTTTCTCTTAAATTACCCACACACAGACTCACCTTCTCAGACTCACTCCCTCTGAGCTTAGGCACTGGGGTAGCAGCTTGAAAGGCACCAGTGGAATACTGGGAAAAACTGAAGTGCCTGGCATCAAGGTGAGCAGAGGCCACTATCACTTTTATAAACACTCTTCCCACAGAGCTGGCAGGATGGTACCATACCTGAGACTCCATCAACCTGGCTACCATTGTTTGAACTACTTTACAGATCCCCAGAGACTCTACCCCATCCAACTTATGGCCTACCATTCTGCTTTTCCATATGAATGGCTGTCCTTGGCTCATGCTTTACAACTTCCTAAATCATAGCAAATAAGCAATAGCTGGCCTCACTGAGCCCCAAGCCCAGCACTAGTAGAAGTGAGCCTAGTTCACAGCATGGCTGCATCTGGGAATCTCCAAGCCCAGCACAAGTAGCAACCATCTCAGATTGCTTAATAGCTCAGGAGGGTGACTCTGGCAAAACATAAGTGGGGACTGACCTTGGCCTGCACCACCCAGGAAACCTGAGGGCTAGCACACCCAGCGGATAGCTACAGACCACAGCAGAGTACCAGCACACTGTCCTGTTACAGCTGATACTCCATTGAGGGCTGGGGTTGGTGCTTAGTGGTCACAACCAATCCTTCCAGGTAACTGGCCTTGGTAAATTCTTTCCATTGACCTGCTAACAGCAATCAAGACTCAACTACAACAAGAGGGTATACTCAGGTTGCACAACAGGCACACCTTGAGAACCGAGCTTTTGTGATAAGGGGAGATTGTGCAGCTGGAAGCTACAGGACACCTACTACTTAGGCCATACTACCAAGACATAAGAGTCAAAGCAGCTCTATCAAATACATAGAAACAAACATAAGGAGGCTGCTAAAATGAGGAGATAAACATGGCCCAAATGAAAGAACAGATCAAAACTCCAGTAAAAGAGCTAAATGAAATGGAGTTAGCAGTATGTCAGATGCAGAGTACAAAACACTGGTTATAGCCCTGGCTGGTGTAGCTCAGTGGATTGAGCGCGGGCCTGCGAACCAGACAGTTGTGGTTCGATTCCCAGTCAGGGCACATGCCTGGGTTGCAAGCTGGTTCCCTGCAGGCCAGTTCCCAGCAGGGGATGCATGAAAGGCAACCGTACATTGATGTTTCTCTCCCTCTCTCTGTCCCTTCCCCTCTAAAGATAAATAAATAAAAAAACAACAAAAAAAACCCCACTGGTTATAAAGATGCTCAAGGAACATAGTGAGGACCTCAATGGAATAACAATCCAGTCAGAAATGAAGGATTCACTAATTGACAAAGAACAAGTTATAGGAAAACAACAGTAGAATGAATGAAGCCAAGAATCAAATCAATGATATGGGACATAAAGAAGGAAAACACAACAAATCAGAACAAGAAGAAGAAAAAAGAATCCCCCAAAATGATAAAAGTATAAGTGGCCTGGGACAACTTCAAGAGGTCCAACATTCTCATCATAGGGGTGCCAGAAGAAGAGAAAAAGCAAGGAATTGTAAAACTACTTGAAAAAATAATGAAAGAAAACTGCCTCGGGACTTCCTTCTGGCCTAGATGGAGGTGTAGGTGGAAATACTGCACCTTCTCGCACAACCAAGTTTAAGAATAACAAAAGACTTAGAAACAAAAACACAACAACCAAAGAGACAGAAAAATTGAACTGTACTGAAGTCCGACAACAACAAACCATTTATCCAGACCGGTAACAGGGGCAGAGTCAGCGGTCAGCAGAGAGGGGTTCCAGCAAGAGGAGGCGGTTATTGGCGACCTGGACAGGCATGGGATAAAAACCCAGTAAGGCTCACATGGTGTGCAGAAAAACCAGGCAGGTTTAAAAACAGTGAGACAGACTGCGCAATCCAGAGCCCCAGCAATGGGAAATATAGTCTAAAAGCACTGATTGGAAAAACTTTCCGGGGTTGAGGTGCCAAGAGAGGCTCCTAGCCTCACAGGAGAAACAGGAGAGTTTGTTGGGGAGACCCACAGGGTCCTAGAATGAACACAAGCCCACCCACACAGGAACCAACACCAGAAGGGCCCAATTTACTTGTGGGAAGTGGCAGAGGGGACTGAAATGCGAGAGAGAGCCCAACAAACACCATCACTCCCTCTCTGATCCCGCCCCCAGTCACAACCCAGCAACTGGGTAGACCCGTTCTGGTGAACACTTAAGTTTACGCCCCTCATAGGTAACAGGCATGAACAGACCAAAACATTATGGCTCAAGCAGAAGAACAGCTCGAAGCCTCAGAGCCAATACTTCTAAGTGACCAAGAGATAGCCAGCCTATCAGATGCACAGTTCAAAACACTGGTGATCAGGATGCTCACTGAACTAGTTGATTTTAGTCACAAATTAGATGAAAAAATGAAGGCTACACTAAGTGAAATGAAGCAAAATGCACAGGGAACCAATAGTGATGGAAACAAATCTGGGACTAAAGTCAATGGAGTGGACCTAAAGGAAGGAAGAAATGACCAAACAGAAAAGAATGAAGGAACAAGACTTCAAAAAAAAAAAAAAAAAAAGGAGAGGCTTAGGAACCTCCAAGACATCTTTAAACGTTCCAACATCTGAATTATAGGGGTACCAGAAGGGGAAGAGGAAGAGCAACAAGTGGAAAACTTATTGGAACAAATAATAAAAGAGAACCTCCCCAACCTGGCAAAGGAAATAGACTTCCAGGAAGCTCAAAGAGTCCCAAAGAAGTTGGACCCAAGGAGGAACACACCAAAGCACATCATAATTATATTAGCCAGGATTAAAATGAAGAGAATTCTAGAAGCAGGAAGAGATAAGGGGACGGTCACCTACAAAGGAGTTCCCATCACTGTCAGCTGATTTCTCAAAAGAGACCTTACAGGCAAGAAGGGTCTGGAAAGAAGTATTCCAAGTCATGAAAAGCAAGGACTTATATCCAAGATTGCTCTTTCCAGCAAAGCTTTCATTTAGAATGGAAGGGCAGATAAAGTGCTTCTCAGATAAGGTCAAGTTCAAGTAGTTCATCATCACCAAGCCCTTATATGAAATGTTAAAGGGACTTACCTAAGGAAAAGAAGATAAAAAATATGAACAGTGGAAGGACAGCAAATTCACAGATATTAACTTAAAAAGCAAATTAAGCAGACAGCTAGATCAGGAGTGGAACCATAGAAATGGAGATCACAAGGAGGGTTAGAAACAGGGAAGTGGGAGCAGGAGAAGGGGGAAGAAGGTAGAGAAAATAAGTAGCATAGATGGTAGGTAGAAAATAGATGGAGGAGGCCAAGAATAGTATGGGAAATGTAGAAGCTAAAGAACTTGTGATACATGGACATGAACTAAAGGGGGGGAGTGGGGGAAGTGGGTGTGCAGGGTGAAGAGGAATGAAGGGGGGGAAATGGGACAACTGTAATGGCATAATCAATAAAATATATTTTTAAAAAATCAAAAAGAAAAAGAAAACTTCCCTAATATGGTGAAGGAAATAGACTTGCAAGTCCAGGAAGCACAGCGTCTCAAGCAAGGTGTATGCAAAGAGGCCCACTCCAAGATACATCATAATTAAAAGCCCAAAGGTTAAAGATAAAGAGAGGATCTTAAAAGCAGCAAGAGAAAAGTAGTTACCTACAGGGAAGTTCCAATAAGACTATCAGCTAATTTCTTAAACTCTGCAGGCTAGAAGAAACTAGCAAGAAATATTCAAAGTTGTGAAAAGCAGCAACCTACAGCTAAAAATTTCTCTACCCAGCAAAGCTATCCTCTAGAATCAAAGGGCAGATAAAGAGCTTCCCAGAGAAGAAAAAAACTAAAGTTTGTCATCACCAAACCATTATTACATGAAATGTTAAAGGGACTTAATTAAAAAAAAATCACCCCAGCTGGTGTGGCTCAGAGAATTGAGTGCTGGCCTGGGATCCAAAGGGTCCCTGGTCTGATTCCTGGTCATGGCACATGCCTGGGTTGCAGGCCAGGTCTCCAGCTGGGGAACACATGAGAGGCAACTATACATTGATGTTTCTCTCCTTCTTCTTCTCCCCTGCTTCCTCTCTTTCTAAAAATAAATAAGCAAATAAAAATCTTTGAAAAAATATCAAAACTATGAATAATAAAATGACAAAAATTACATACCTATCAATACTTGAATCTAAAAAACAAACAGCAAACAAGAATGGAGACAGAATGGATATGGATAGCATTTTGATGGTTGCCAGGTAGGGACAGGTATGGGGAAATTGGGTGAAAAGGTGAGGGGATTAAGAAGTACAAATAGATAGCCACAGCCATGAGGACGCCAAGTACAGTATAGGAAATGGAGTAACCAAAGAACTTATACGCATGAACCATAAACATGAACAATGGGTGACCTGACTGCCTGAGGGAGTGGGGTACTGGGTGGAGGGAGGCCAAGGGGGGAAATTTGGGACAACTGTAGTAGCTTAATAAATAAAATGTAATTAAAAAAAGAGGAATTTTACCCACAGGGTCTATGTAGTCTTAACAGCCACACTTAACTACTCCATAGTCTTTGCAATCAGGCATATCTGGGTTTAAAATCTGGCCCCCTTGCTGCTTTTCACCTTCCCAGGCCTCCTTTTCTCATGTAGAAAATGAGAATAATCATATTTTCCTAAGTTTAACTTGTTCTGAGTTAGGGTGGTCAGATAAAATACAGGGTGCCCAGTTATACTTGGATTTCAGATAACATCACTTTTTAGTATAAGTATGTCCCAAATGTTGCACGGGGTATACTTTTATGCTAAAAAAAGTTGCTGTTTTTCGAATTAAGCTGGCGTTTTATATTGTAATTGGCTAAATCTGGCACCCCTGCCTAGGGGTAAAGGGTGGTCCTTGGAGCTGCTGCCTCTGCACCTGCTGAAGGAGCAGGTGCGCTGCCATGCTGGAGGGCTCAGATGCTGGCCTGGAGACTGGGGGAGCTATGGGTGGGGTCCTAGGAGAGCTGGGGTGTGGCAGAGTTGGGTGGGTACCTGGAGGTCCAGCAGCCCTGTGAGCAGGGCCTTCCCAGCATGGGCTGCGTTATTCAGCAGGTCCTCCCGCTTGATGACATTGATGACCTCGGCCAGCAGCAGGTTCTTGGACGGGTCTCCCAGCCAGGTGTTAAAGATCCGGTATGGCTGGAAAAAGCATGGGGTGTTGGAAAGGTTTACTCATGGGCACACCCTTCAGGGGCCCATGCCTTCCAGAAACACCCTGTCCCCCATTTAAGAGAGAAACAAACTCAGTGAGTATCTACTGAGGGCCAGGGAGGATTACACATATTATTTCATTGAATTCTCTCTATAACCACCACCATGTGGGAGGTATGATATTTGGTCACACAGAGGCCAATTCTTCGTGTGCTGGGAAATTCCTCAGTCCTGAGGAAATCAAGATAGTTGGCCCTTAACTGTAGTCATAATTTTATAGAGGAGAAAGCTGAGGTTTTGAGAGGTTGTGATTTTTCCAGAAAAAAAACACAGTGCAGGTAGACTCAGAGTGGATTGATGGCAGTTTGGCCTTCAAAGACAACCCAATTTATTTTTCAATAAATTATTCAGGGTGTCAATGCAGCCAACTAAAACATATCTCCCACCTTCCTTTGTAATTAGGAGTGGCCTTGTGACCAGATCTGAAAGTGTTAGAAGAGTAGTGGGATTTCATGGAAAGCCCCTAAAGGTAAGGGGAGGCTCACTTTGTGCTTTCTTCCTTTTTCCATCCTACTGCCTAGAATGGGATGTGATAGTTGGAGTAGCCACTTTGGACCATGAAGCATTCTTGAGGGTGAGAACTACATGCAGAAATGGTGGGAGGAAGGATCCTAAGTCCCCGATAACTATGTGTGTTTGTTTATGAGAATCCACATTACTCATGGTAGTACTGTGTAGTAGCTATGACCAGGGCTTTGGGTTTGAATCCTAGCTTTATCATTTAATGGGCTATGTGATCTTGGACAATTTAACTTAACCAGTCTGTGTCTGATTCCTCATTAGTAAAATGGGAGATAAAAATAACACCTACTTAGTTAGATTGTTGTAGAGATAAAAGTACATGAAGAGTACTTAGAACTGGGCACGGCACAGAGTAAACTCTCAGTTTACAGCAGCAGTTATTAACACACAGAAAAATTAGAAGACTGACAACAGACATATACGAAGTCAGCCCTGCAGAGAATGTAGGTAATTGAAATCACTGGTTAATTAAATCAATAAGAACTCGTGCTTATAAAACTTCTGTGACACATTAAGCATCCGTTCAGTTCCTGATTTGTGAAAAAGGCCCAGGTTTGAGAAAGCAATGATACTTCACCCATCTCTCTCCCCCATCTGGAAAGGAGGAAAGGGTGGATTAGGCACTCACAGCATTTGGCCTGAACTCCTCCTTGTGGAAAAAGCCCCCAGTCATCATCTTCTTGCTGAAGGTCATCACATCTGCAGGGTCATCCAAGCCCCAGTGCTCATGGGCCCAGAACTTGCCAGTGCAGCCCCCTCCTGTCTGGACCTCATCCACCAAGAAGGCACAGCCATGCTGGAGAGAGAGGAGGGAGAAACACACATCCACCACAATCAACCAACCTCTGACCCAGTCATCCAGCCAGAGTCAGGGCTTTCTAAATTGCAAGCCAAGTGCATGTTTCTGGGCAAAACTAAACAAATGCTCAAGCAGACAGTCCCACCAGAGCTGTGTCTGAACACTTCCTCCTGCTGCTGAGCCTGAGCCAAACCAGAATGTTGAACATGCCCTGATCCAAAGCCTGGCAGCATTTCACTGAGCAAGCTGACCTACTCCGGAGGAAATGTGGCTCCGCAGTGAGGCCTGGCCCTGTCTCTCAAACATCTGCTGTCATGTTTGGCAGTTCTGTTCATCACCAGAACTGTTCTTTACTTCACATTTTGTTTAAATCAAGTCATGTAGTATAAACTTCATCTGTGAACTTGCTGGTTGGATGTGCCATTTGTACATGTGTGCAGGACATTAAAATAAACACAATACTAATATAAAGTGTGTTCATTTTGCTTGTGCTGAGTGTGGGCCACACTGGGCTGAAAGGTGAGGTGGGGACTCTAAAACGGAAAGGGTAGAGTCTGAGGCCTTCCCAGAAATGCCTTGATTGCAAAAGCCTCTGACTAAGAAGGCATGGCTGGATGGAGGCTGGTTTTGCAATAAGATTACAGGGAAGAATTCTCTGTCTTGTCCCCCTACTCCTAACTTCTCTACCCGTGAGGCCAATAGGTAGCCTTTAAACATCTGGAAGTTTGCAAGGATCCCAAAGCTAACCCTTTGATCTGGGAGACCAGCTGGAAATGGCCTGTGGCCCCGACCAGCCTTGGCCAGTGCACTGACCTTCCTGGAGATGTCTCTCAGCTTCCGGAAGAAATCATCAGATGCGTGGTTGTCTCCACCCTCAGACTGGATGGGCTCCACGATGATCCCGGCCACTGTTTTCTTCTTTTTCCGATATTTCACAATCAGATCCTCTACCTGTATCCCGAAGTGTGAAATGACAATGGCTTGTGGAGGCTTCTTGAGCAGCACCCATGCATGGGTATGTGGGGTCTCATGACCACCTGGAAGTTACGTTGCACATGTGTTTGTGAGCATTTTCCAGTGAGCCCTGTGATATCCACTTCAAGCCACAAGTGTAGATGGGATGTGTCCTACTTAGGATTTGTGCTGGCCCCTGTGGGGATACAGACTGCTAACTTGGAGCAAATTATATGACATTCTGGAGCCTTACTTCCCTGATCTATGCAATGAGCATGCTGACAGAATCTGTTGTTACTGTTATATTGTTATCATTATTGGTAGGAGAGTCCTTTCTGTGCAGAACTGGGATGAATATTTGTTTAAAAAGCTGAGGCAAAACTTATCTATAGTGATAGAAATCCAAGCAGTGGTTGCCCAGATCTTGGGGTGGCAGTAGGGGTCCTAGACTGACTTCAGATGAATCCAAGGAAATTTTCCAGGCTGATAAGATGCCCTTGGTTGGAGTGATGGTTACATGAGCATATTTATTTGTCAAAACTTATTGAACTAGGCATTTAAATGACTGCATTTTATGGCATGTAAGTTATGTTAATAAAGTTGAAATTGACTTTAAAAATCTGTTAACAGTGACAGGGTTGTAAGAAAAGTACCTGATTGTCCCTAAGTAGTTATAGTTCTTGAACTCGTGTTCCAATATGGGCATCATCTTATACATAATTAAAGAGTAGTAACTGTGATACTTTATTAATAATTTAATAAATATACATAATTTAAATACCCCAAACCATACATTTAGATAGAATAACAAAGGACAATCCTTCTCGGTTATGGAGAACTAAGGAAAAAACCTTCTGTTTGGATGATGTGATTTAGGCCTCGTTCTCCACCAGTCCCTCCATGGGAGCTCTGAGATGTTTTTCTTTACTTTCAGAGAATTGTTTGCAAGTTGTCATTTCGTGCTTATTTTCTTACTTGTTCAGTGCTGTGTTTCTTACTACTGGGCATTCTCTAATAAGATGGCCACGAGCCCCATGGGGCTACTGAGTACTTGCAGTGTAACTGGTCCAAACTGAGATGTGTCTCAGTGTAAAACACACACAGGATTTCAACGATTTAACACAAATAACAAAATATAAAATAATCTTATCAATAATTTTTAAGTATTAATTACATGTTGACATGATACTGTTTTGGATGTATTGGTTCCATAAAATGTTACTAAAATTAATCTCACTCCTTTTTACTTTTAAAAGATGTGATTATTAGAAAAGCTACAATGACATCTGTAGCCTGCTTTATCTTTCTATTGGACAGGCTGTAGTAGACTCCATTATCTTGCATCTTTTATTTACCACAAAATGTCCAGCACCTCGCACTTGCTTCACAATACCTACTTAGTACCTTAGTAGGTATTAACTATTGTTTGAAACATGCCTAAGATGTAGACTCAAATCCCAACCTGAAGAGTGAAAGCCATTTTCCCCAGCAACAGAATCCTTCCAGTGTCCTACGTGAAAGCCCAATATATGGAACAGATCAAAGGGGTGGGGGCTCTTCTGGTTGAAGTGGAGACATGGCAACAGGGGCTACAATGTACTCAGTCCTTCCCCTGCCCCTTGCACCTTTAGGCTCCCAAAGCAACCCCAGGATTTGAGAGAAGGCTGGAAAACAGTGAACTGGAGGATCTTGTGCAACTTTTTCTATGAGCAAACTCATATTCTTCACATAAATTCACTTTCTCTCATTCTAAAATCACTGATGCTTGCCTCAAAAGAAACTTGAATGATACTGAAATTGGTACCAAAAGTGGAGTTATGGACACTGGGTGGCAAAATCAATTTGTCCATTATCTTTCCCAGTATGGAATGTTGGGATGGGAGGCCTCTCTATCCTTATGTCCCTCCCAGGGAGTGCTGTGCAGGCTCAAGATAAACTCTTGGGTTGTCTTCTCCAGTGTTGGGGTGGCAAGCATAAGGGGATGGGGAGGTGGGAAGGATCTGGAAGGTCCGGGTGTTACCTCTTCTAGGCAGCGGGCCTCTTCTTGTTTGTTCTCCTTCACAAACTCCTCCAGAGGGTATTTCAGCCGTGGGAATGGTGCAATGGGCCAGTCGAAGGAAGGAATGTCAATCTTGTGAATAGCTTTGGAGTGTGTGGTCGCTAGGCAACCTAGACTCCCCACAAAACAGAAGAGCAGTTGGGTGGCTTAGAGGAACACAATGAACAGTCTTCAAAAAGGAGATGATGGGCATTTCAAGCCAAGACCTTGATTGCCCGGGAGTTCCTATAACATCCTGAAGCTGAAGAAGAACCTATGAATCATTTCTGTGTGCGTGCATTTGTGTAGCTTTCTCATTCATCACAGATTAAGCACAGGCTTTAAAGGCAGGGAAACTAGTTTATCCTGGCTCTGCCACTGTGTGGCCTCAGAATGTTTCTCTTCTTTCTGAGCCTCTATTTCCCTGTCTGCAAAGTGCCAATAAACAATTCCTACTCTGCAGAGTGGTGTGGGGTCAATGAGACAAGGTGGGGAAAGTGAGATCAAAGGCTTTGCTATTATCACTATGTCACCTGGGGATCTTAGCGACCCCTCCTTACCCATGGTCCTTCCATGGAATGCACCCATGAAGGAGAGGATGCTGAAGTCTGGGCAGCCAGGGGCCTAGAAACAAGAAATAGTGGGCATTAGTCACAGTTGTGAGAAGTAGGGGACTCTGTGGCTCCCCCCACCCGAGAATGAGAAGGAACACCAAAGTCTATCGGAAGAATTGGGGTTCTCTTCTCAGGCTGAAGTTACAAACTGGATCCCTACTTCTATAGCCAGGCAATAGATGTTTTGCCCATGTGACCTGCCAAAATATACTTTTTTCCAAAAAAATATTTTAATCAAGACCTTTCACCTAAGTATCTGAAATGTTTTCTCTCAAGTTCTGTATCCCTTGGGCCCATTTTTGTCACCCAAGCCTAAAGTCTGGGCAAATGTGCAGCTCTATGGCCCACTGCCTTCCTTTCTCCTTTATATCACTGGCCATCACCTGCTGGGCTGCTTGGGGCTTTTGAATTTTCAGCCCCTGTCTGCAGACTCTTCCAACTCCTACAGGCTCTTCCCCCACTCCAGACTGCTCTGGCTTCCATAGCAACCAGGTGGGCTAAGTGGGCCATGATAGGAGGCTGAGCAGGGCACCTCACAGGAAATGAAAGCCCCGGACCTTTGGACCAGGTCTGCTACACCAGAGTGGGAGGCTGGGCAGTGAGGACCCACTGCCCCCATCTTTCTGTCTTCCCAGGGTGGCTGCCCCTGTGTTCAGGAGAGATACCCAGTCCCCAGTGCATGGCACAGCTGCATTGTTTCCTGACCCTCCAGCAGGCAAGGAATCAGAACTGTTTCAAGCTGACTCTGGAAGAGCTACTGAGGATGCCACATGTCTTTGGAAATTTGATACAGCATGCTCTTAGGCTGGCTGATCTCCACCAGGTACCTGAGACCTCTGGTAGAAGCCCTAAGACATCCTTCTACAAACTATAGTATACCATCTTGTCTTTTCCCTTTAAGGAGAGGAAACACTTCCTTTGTTCCTTTGTATTTCAATATGCACATACTATCTCACATAGTATGCACATACTATCCTCTTTGGCTGCACACATTAAATGGGAGGAATAAGATCTAAAGATATTGGTGGACTAGGATGTCCACAGATATCAAATGAGAAAAAGGTAGAGCAAGATCTTTCTTTTAAAAAATGGCCAGAAGAAAAAAAGAAAAAGCTTAACTTTATGTAGGTTTGTATAAATATGGAGAAAGGTATAGATATATCGCTAGCAAGAGGCGAGATCAGGAATAAAAAGTTAATAAAGCACAAGGAGAAAATGAAATAAAACAATCTCACCACCCATAGGCATCCTATTATAAACATGTTAGCAGGATTTCTTGTAGTAATTTCCAGTACATTTATTTGCAGTATCCATACAGTTAACATTCTGCTGTTTTTCACTAAATTATAGTACACATGTCTCCAGGCAAAGAATAACCCTAACTATTTTTGCTGCAGGATGTTGTGGATATTCACAGTGCATAATTGAGTTTAGTGACCCTTGACTCCTTTTTAAAAAATCAGCAGACATTTCTGTCTAAACCATAATGGGACCACATATGTGAAAGTGGGAAGGGCAGGCATGCTCTTGTTGAAGCTGGCTGCAGAGCTTGGGTCTACCTACTTGGTTTTCCCGGTGGTGCCCACTACTGCTGTGCCCCAACAGTAGCCTCCTTGGTGCCTCTTGGAACCTGTACACTTAATTTCTCTTTCCTTATTCAGTGGTTTGCAGTCTTTTTGGTTATTGTTACTCTAAACACCAGTGGGGTAAATACCCTTGAACACACATTTGTATTGACATTTTGGATTATTCTAGAGACTACATTAAAGCCCTTCTTAGATGGGTTAAATTCAGGCAGTTGCCCTGGGAAACTGTTGTCTAGGGTCAGGAAGAGCTCCACTTCACTTTGATATCAAGGGAATGAACTAGGGAGGCAGAATGCTTGGGGACCCTTGTTATGGACCAAATGTTTATGTCCCCCAAATTCATATGTTGAAGTCCTAACCTTGGTATGATGACCTTTGGACATGGGGCCTTGGGAAGGTGATTAGTGCTGGATGAGGCTGTGAGGGAACTCCCATGCTGGGATTAGTTTCTTTATAAAAAGAGGCACAAGAGAGCTTGCCAACACTTGATGACATGGGAGGACTCAGTGAGAAGGCACTTGTCTGCAAGCCAGGGAGAGAGCCTGCCCCGGGGAACCAAATTGGCTGCACCTTGGACTTCCAGCCCTCATAACTGTGAGAAAACACAGGTATCTTGTTTAAGCACTCCCCCTTCACCACAGTCTATGGCAGCCTGTGTTGACTATTTGGGAAGGACAGGGTCCATTAACTATTGTCAGCTGGGGCGGGGGTGCGGGGGGCTGTGGCACCTTTCTCTTGGAGGAGGAGAAAAGGCCCACTCCACTTACCTGGTTGACCATGCACGTCTCCAGCTCCTCTTTAGAGAAACCCGTTTGACCCCTTTCCTTGCTCTGACAAAAAAGAACAGAACAAAGTCTCAGAGATGTTCTGTGGTAGGAGGGGCTTCCACTTTTCAATCACACCCATAGTTAGTCCAGACAATTAGAGAACACTCTCTCAAGAGTTAATCTAAGGTGTTGATTGAGAAGTGAAAAAATAAAACAGAGTCACCATGGTCAAGCTGCTGTATTATTAACTTCAAGTAGGCTGAGGCATAAGGAAACAATTATTCTTGTTTAACTGACTCTGGGAACTTAAACTTTCAAATTCTCTAGTCCCATGTCAATACCTGGAGGTACATCAGTGTATTTGCTGTGCATCAATGCCTGGACATACATAAAACCTTCACAGTGACCTCAAGAAGAAAATGTTGCATTGTTCTGACCACCAGACATCTGACAATTACCATCTTGGACCAATCCAGGGGCTAAGAATACAGAACTCATTCTTCTTAAGAATATACTTTTTACTTGGTTCTTGGCACCATTTCCCACAGAGATGTTTGAAAAGTCCCATCCAGGCAGTGCATTTTGAGCATGGTCACTGTGTCCCGTACTTAGACGGTTGGGGTAAACAGTAGAGCTAGGAAGTATGTGGCTGGGTGCTGGGGAACCTGTGTGTATGTATGTCTTTGTGCCTCAAACCTTACCCGATACCACATGAAGATGGTCTTGAAGGCATTTTCATTGGAGCAGGAGCCGCAGGCCATGGTAATGACCTGGGACATCCCTTTGGGAGCCACCTGTGGGCAGAGAAACAGCTTTGGGCTCAGCTCCATCTTGACTCCTCCTCCTCCAGCTGGAGCTGTGGGAGGCAGAGGGAGTCTGGGAGGGAACTGGGCACATCCCAGAAGCAGCCTGGGAAAGTGGACTTGGGCTGTTCTGGGGTGGTAAGAGAAGTCCAGGCTGAAGGGCAGACAGGAATAAAGGGAGAAACAAAGCCCAGTCTACCCCTCCTGATGCAACTGCCACCCCTTGAGATGCCCACATTTTGCAGATGAAAAGTTGAGGTTCTGAATAATTTTAATCACTGTAACAATCAGAACAGAAATATCAACGCAGGTTGAATAACAGGCAAAACTCCTGTCATGGAAAAAATATTTATTTTTCCTGAGTTCCATTTTTCCTGCACACAGGAATCCTTTATTTTCTTCAAAAGGAAAAGTAAAAATACTTTTTTGTTATAGAAACAACACAAGGAACAAGACTGAAAGAGAAACACCCCATCCTAATTGTTCAGCATCTCAATCTCTCCTTCTCCTGCTGGTGCTGCCTCCAAGAAGCCAGGACTGCCTTTTTAGGGTGGGTGGGGATGAGGGGGGTCTGGGCCAAAAGGTGGAGCTGAGTCCTAGCAGCAGAGGGTCGTTCCCATGGACTCCACTCACTGAGAGCAAGGATTCCCGCAGCTTCTCCACAAAGTTCTCTGGAGGCAGGATTCCCAGGGCAGGTCTATTGATGAATGTGCTCTGCAAAGAGGTCCAGAGACAAACAGTGACTTCTCAGGCCTGACTCAGCTCCAGGTCCACCAACCACACTGTTCACAGGGATGGAGTCCAATAGCCTGATGTTATCATGTCCATGCTAGAATGATGTATTTCCCGACATTTTTAAAGAAATCCACTAGAATTGCTCTGGATTTTAAGAAGAAATGCCAATTTCTTGGTTGTGATATTGCACTATAATTATATAAGATGCTACCTTTGGGAGAAACTGGGTGAAAGGTACATGGGACCTCTTTGTACTATTTTTGCAATTTCCTGTAAATCTGTAATTAAAAAAAAACAACCCACCACAATAGCTAAATATTAAAATATGGACAATAATAAGTGCTGATGAGGATGTAGAGCACCTGGAACTCTCATCACAGCTGGTGGGAAAGTAACATGGTATGGCCACTTTAGGAGGCAGTCTGGCAGTTTCATATAATGTTAAACATACATGTACCCTATGATCCAGCAATGCCACACCTAGGAATTTATGTAAGTGAAATGAAACTGTATGTCCACACAAAGACATGAATAGATATGAATATTTATAGGGGCTTTTAAAAAATTTGCCCAAACCTGTAAACAACCCAGATGTCCCTCTACTGGGGAAAGGATACATAAACTGTGATACATGCACACCATGGAATGATACTGAGCAATAAAAACAATCTACCAACACACACAAGGCCGAGGAGAACATGGTAGAATTTCAGAGTTTTGGTGCTGAGTGGCAGAAGACAGAATCAAAGGGTTATACCCAGTATGGTTCCATTATGTGACATTCTGGGAAAGAGAAACTAGGGACAGAAAACAGCTCATGGTTGCCAGGGGATGAGGTGGGATTGACCATAAATGGGCTCGAGAACATTCGGGGTGATGAATTGTACCATGTTCTGATTTTTTAAAAATGTGGTAAAAAACATGCAACATAAAATTTACCATCTTAACCATTTCTAAGTGTACAGTTCAGTAGTGTAAAAGTATATTCGCATTGTAGTGTAGCCATCACCATTATCCATCTGCAGAATTGTTTTATCTTGTAAAACTGAAAGTGTATATCCATAAGACACTAACTGTCCCTCACCTCTCCCCCAGTCCCTGGCAACTACCATTCTACTTTCTGTCTCAATGAATCTGGCTATTTGAGGGACCTCATGTAAGTGGAATCATAAAGTATTTCTTCTTTTGTGACTGGCTTATTTCCTTAGCATAATGCCCTCCAAGTTCATCCATGTTGTAGCATGTGATAGAATTGCCTTCCTTTTGAAGTCTGCATAATATTCCATTGTATGAATGAGCCACATTTTGTTTCTTCATTCACCTGTCAATAGACACTAGGCTGATTCCACTCTTTGGGTCTTATAAATAAGGCAGCTATAAACATGCATGTGCAAATGTGTCTGAATTTACAGTGAGTGTATGACAATGCATTTGGCAAACACACAACTATACACTACAAACAGTGGATTTTACTGCATGTAAATTATACTTTAATTAAATAAGCATGGAAAAAGACATACAAGGCAGCAGCTATTCTAAAATTTCTAGGACTTCCTGCTAAGATGGAGGCATAAGTATATACACTTTGCCTCTTTGCACAACCAAAAGAAAGACAACAAATTTAAAAACAAAAAATAATCAGAACTGCCAGGAAATTGAACTGTATGGACGCCCAACAACCAAAGAGTTAAAGAAGAAACATTCATTTACACTGGCAGGAGGGGTGGAGATGGGCAGCTGGGGCAGAGAGGACCCATAGCAAGGAGGTGTCTGGGTGACTGGGTGGTCCCACAATTGCGTGCAGATAAAATGGGAGGAACAACTGGGGAGTAAGACAGACTGTGCAACACAGAGTTCTAGCACAGGGAAATAAAGTCTCAAAAGTTCTGGCTATAAAAATCTGTGGGGGTTGCAGCAGTGGGAGAAACTCCCAGCCTCACAGGAGAGTTCAATGGAGAGACCCATAGGGTCTTCTAGAATGTACACAAGCCTACACAACCCAGGATTCGGCACCTGAAGGGCCCAATTAGTTTGTGGGTAGCAGAGGAAGTGACTGAAAGCCAGATGAGAGCTGAGCAAAGAGTACTGCTCTCTCTCAGACCCAATCTCCAATATATAGCACCACAAAACAGCAATAAGGGTTTCCCCACTCTAGTGAATGCCTAAGGCTCCCCCCCTTACAACATAACAGCTATGCAAAGACAAAGAAATATGGCCCACACGAAAGAGCAGTTCAGTTTCCGCCAAGATGGAGGCATAGGTGGGGACGCCGTGCTTCCTCACACAACCAAGTTTAGAGACAACTAAATATTAGCAACAGAAAACACAGCCAGAACACAGAAAATTGAACTTTTCGGAAGTCTGATAACAACAAATTCTTCAGCCTGACCGGTAAGAGGGGCGAAACCAGCAGCTGGAGAAGCGGGGTTGCACAGGAAAACTTGGTCAGATGGACTCAGGCGCGCAGAATCCAGGCGCAGGGTTGGACCTGGTGGGCAACTCAGCGAGCGACCGTGGGGAAACAGCAAGGGAGCAGGGCTGCGGGTTGACTGTGGTCTCACATCCATGTGTGGATATACAAGCGAGGGAGTGGGCGCTTGGACGGGACCCAGCAGGCCCCAGTGGCAAGCGGCAGCAGAGGGCGCCCGCCATTTCCCTGCTCTGACCCCCGCCTCCACATACAGCGTCATAACCCAGTGACCTAAGAGGCCCTGCCCTGGTGAACCACCTGAGGTTCTGCTCCTCACCCAGCTGCGAGAAACAGCAGAGGGGGCTGCCATTTCCCCGCTCTGATCACCCCCCCCCACATACAGCGTCACAACCCAGCGACCTGGGAGTCCAAGGCTCCCCTCCTCGTACTTAACGGGTGTGAACAGAACAAAAATGGCTCAAGAAGATCTCAATGCACCAGAGCCTATAAATCTAAGCGATGAAGAAATAGCAAAACTCTCAGACGCACAGTTTGAAACACTGGTGATCAGGATCCTCACAGAACTGGTTGATTATAGCCACAAATTAGATATACATATGAAGGCGAAACTAATTGAAATGAATGGAATTACACAGAAAATCAATAGCGATGAAAAGGAAAATGGGTCTCAAATCAATGGAGTGGACCAGAAGAAAGCAAATAATGGCCAAACAGAAAAGAGTGAAGAAGCAAGAATTCAAAAAAATGAGGAGAGTCTTAGGAACCTCCATGACATCTTTAAATGTTCCAACATCCGAATTATAGGGGTTTCAGAAGGGGGAAAGGAACAGCCACTAGTGGAAAACTTATTTGAACAAATAATAAAGGAGAATCTCCCCAATCTGGCAAAGGAAATAGACTTCCAGGAAATCCAGGAAGCTCAGAGAGTCCCAAAGAAATTGGACCCAAGAAGGAACACATCAAGGAACATCATCATTACATTAGCCAAGATTAAAATGAAGGAGAGAATCCTAGAAGCAGCAAGAGCTAAGGGGATAGTCACCTACAAAGGAGTCCCCATCAGACTGTCAGCAGATTTCTCAAAAGAGACCTTACAGGCAAGAAGGGGCTGGAAAGAGGTATTCCAAGTCATGAAATCCAAAGACCTACAACCAAGATTGCTCTATCCAGCAAAGTTTTCATTTAGAATGGAAGGACAGATAAAGTGCTTCTCAGATAAGATCAAATTCAAGGAGTTCATCATCACCAAGCCCTTATTATATGAAATGCTAAAGGGACTTATCTAAGAAAAAGAAGTTAAAAAAACATGAACAGTGAAAGGACAGCAAACTCACAGTTATTAACAACTACACCTAAAACAAAAGCAAACTAAGAGGACAGCTAGATCAGGAGCGGAACTGTAGAAATGAAGATCACAATGAAGATCACATGGAAGGTTAGCAACAGGGAATGGGAGAAGGAGAAGGGGGGATAAGGTACAGAAAATAAGTAGCATAGACAGTAGATAGAAAATAGATGGGGGGGCAAGAATAGTATGGGAAATACAGAATCTAAAGAACTTGAGACACATGGTCATAAACTAAAGGGGGGAATGGTGGGGGAGGGAGTGTGCAGGGTGGAGGGGAATGAAGGGGGAAAGAGAAAAACTGCAATGGAATAATCAATAAAAATAAGTAAATAATTTAAAAAAAGAAAAAAAAAGAAGGAGCAGTTCAAAACTGCAAAAATACAGCTCAGTGCTGAAGAGATAACCAACCTATCAGATGCACAATTCAAAACACTGGTAATCAGGATGCTCATAGAAATGGTTGAGTATGGTTGCAAAAAAAAAAAAAAGGAAAAAGTGAAGGCTATGAAAAGTGAAATAAAGAATATATACAGGGAACCAACAGTGAGTAAACTGGGACTCAACTCAATGCTTTGGAGGAGAAGGAAGAAATAAACATTCAGCCAAAACAGAATGAAAAGACAAGAATTCAAAATAATGAGGAGAGGCTCAGGAACCTCCAGGACAACTTTAAATGTTCCAACATCCAAATCATAGGAGTACCAGAAGGAGAAAAACAACAGCAAGAAATTGAAAACTTATTTGAACAAATAATGAAGGAGAACTTTCCTAATCTGCCAATGGAAATAGACTTCTAGAAAGTCCAGGAAACACAGAGAGTCCGAAACAAATTGGACCCAAGGAAAAACACACTGAGGCACATCATAATTACATTACCCAATATGAAAGATAAGAAGAGAATCTTAAAAGCAGCAAGAAAAAAGGAAACAGTCACCTACAAAGGAGTGTCCATAAGGCTATCGGCTGATTCCTCAAAAGAAACCCTGCACACAAGAAGGGGCTGGAAAGAAGTATTCCAGGTCATGAAAGGCAAAGACCTACATCCATGATTGCTCTAGCCAGCAAAGCTATCATTTAGAATGGAAGGACAGATAAGTGCTTCCCAGATAAGGTCAAGTTAAAGGAGTTCATCATCACCAACCCCTTAAATGAAATGTTAAAGGGACTTATCTAAGAAAAAGAAGAAGATCAAAATTATGA